GTTTTTTTTCCTATATTGATAACTGATACTGGAGGAAAGTGGCGAAAGGCTAGACAGCAAAATCCTCAAGAGTTCTTGGATCAAATGGTTTCACAGGAGAAAGAAGCAGAAAGCATACGGTCCCTGATGTTTTTATTATCTGTGAAATTTCCACTGCAAGTTACTCTGTAATTTCCTGTTAGAATGCAGGCCATAGACATAATTTTTGCCTAGAAAATTGTGTTTAAAAAACATTGTGGATATTCTTTAGAAACTGAATCATCTCAATCACTTTGGAAGAGGAAATATAGCAGTCCTCAATGAAGCTGGAGTCCAGTGCAGACACAGTTCAGTTCACTCCTGCCCGCCTTTGCTCCTCTCTGCAAGCTGTAACTCTGTCCCTTGAACTTCCCTCTGTCAGGGGAGCTTCTCTGTCAGGAAGAGCTTCAGAATTAAAATCAGATCCCTGCAGAGATAACTCCACACAAAGCAGTTTAGCCCCTGGATTTGCTAGTACAGCACATCATGAGTAAAAATACAGAAGACCCCTGGTGGTCTTTGTAATTTGCTGTTTATATAAACTGGAATTGAATCACTAATGAATGGAAGTGTGGGGTTCAAAGGTAAAAGATCCAATAGCTGCCCTGGTTTCACTCAGTGAGAGCTTTTCCTTTTGTGTCTTGCATTTGGATGTAACTGGAAGTGAACTATCCTTCAGAACCTGCAGAGGAGGTGCAGGCATGGATATTCCCTTCCCAGGAAAGGACTGTTGAGTTTTTGACTGGTTTGAAAAGAAATATCAACACCTAAAACCTCAAAATGAAGTGCTTTCACATTTTCATATTACCACTCCCTTTTTTCTAGCACAATATATAGAACTTAGATCAAATTCTCTGCTACTTTTTAGTTTGCCATTATATTGAATATTTCTAATATGAAAAGCTGCCTTTTAGAAATAAAATTTCTGGGGATACCTTGTGTTTTCAAAGGTAGCCACAGTCACTATTTTTTGAAGTAACTCTCTGGTGCTTTAAAAGCTCTGGTAAAACTAGATAATTCTCACCTGCTGAAGAGGAATGAGAGCATCAAGTTGGGATGCAGGCATTTAACTCAGTAACCAGCCCTGTGCCAGGCCTGTTAGAACTGTAAAATGAAACCAGCTGATGTGCAGAGAGGATGTGAACCTGTAGTATATCACACGTTTAACAAGAAATAGCATTTTAAATTGAAGAACTGCAGTTATTTTAAGCCATATATTAAACATTCCTATTAAAAGCCTTGTGAAATATAATGTCACTTTAAATCAGAACAGGTTTCTTATGCCATAATTTTAGTTAGGTTGGAGAATCTCAGCCTATCCTTAATATTCCTCATTGAGTTATTAAAGATGGATATATCATTAGAGTTAACAGCTTTTCAATGAAAAGGAAGTTAATTCAGTGTACAGAGTCTGAATGTCTTCACTTTGAATTACAGTCATTGATAAAACCCTGCTTTAATATTAAATGCAAATACAGTTCCTATTTCAACAAAGCTGTTCTGGAAGATATCACCTCTCTGTCCAGGAATGTCTGCTACACTTCTATGGAAAAAAGAACTGTTTCAATTAGTTATATCAGTCACAATATTATATTTGCGTTTGGAAATTTGAGTCTATGTACTATTGGTGTTTTTCCCACAGAAAACCAAAGGTGTAATGCTGTACACAAATTTTTGTGTTAGTTCTGATTACTGTGTGTAATTGGATGAATGATTTAAATAGCATCTCCTGGTGAGAGGAAAAATAAATAGACCAACACACACATTCCTTTCCTTTTTTACTGTGTATAAGTGGCTCAGTCATTGATGAGATTTGCTTTAGTGAATAGAGAAGGATGAGTTGTATCTTCGAGTAGTGACTGCATGGATTGTGGTAGATATTTGAATTGGATTATTGGTTAGCTGTGTGACTGTTCTGTGAGGAGCCAGATAATGTGTAAAGTGCACTTGTCTTGTGGCTAATGTTATGCTAGAGTATTCCAGAATGGCAAATTGCAATGTTTTACTCAAGAACATCCTTGCCTGCCTGTGGGGTTTGATTCCCAGCTCTGCACTGGTGCCACATTAGGAATCCCTGGGGAGCTGCTCTTTAGTTTGGACTTTTAGCTGCCATCAAGCTGGATTCAAAGTTGTTTTGAGGAGTGTTTGCTGCAGGGATGCCCACTGGATTTTTTTGATTTATAACACTGTCCCTCCTCTCTCAGCTCCATCTTCAAAAGTAAAAGGATTTTGGGCTGTGAGCTTGCCACATGCATCAGCTGTAGTTTTATTATGGTGATTAAATGAAGAGTGGAATAGGAAGTAGGATGGATATTCACAGGATAGGATGGATATTCTCATGAGAGACCTTGGCAGGGGAAGCACTGGGGTCCTCTGTGGGGGCTCCCCCACCAACAAAGAGCCCCTGTGGAGCCTCTGCATCCTCACAGTGATGGACAGCATCGGTTCACGCCAAAGCATCCAACACTGCTTCCAAATGACAGCTCTGAATACATCACTTAGTTTCCCTCATTATCTCTGGGATGATCTGAATGTAACTGCTGCACTGTTCAATCGTGCAGCTAAGTGCAGCCCTGAAGAAAGAAATTAGCTGTGGCATAAATATTTAAGCAGTTGTACAGATGCTATGCTATTTTTTTTCAGTTAAATTTCTCTTTGTAAATATCTGAGTTCTGTAACTGGAGCAGGCTCAGTAGAAGAAGCAGTGCTTTAAATTCTTCATCAGTTGCACTTGTCTAAAAGGCACCACGGAGACAGAATTCTGAGACAGAACCATGTCTTAATTGAATTGAAAAAACCCTCCACTTTCCTCCTATCTAGTTCTCTGTTGAGCAGCTGATCTCACTCAAGTAGTTTCTTTCCACGTGGCTTTGGAAAATCTAAGAGCCTCCTAAAAAGCAGCAGTTTATCTGGTTTGGCTTTAAAGATTACAAAATTTAAAATCTATTTTGGTTAATGCAGGAACCACACTGCATATGTCTGTTTTATTTTTCATTATTATTTGCTGTTGTGAAGCCTGTGACTTGTGAAACATGAGAAAGGGAAGAAAAGTCAGGGTTTTTTTTCTTTAGTACTGAGGAGGTGGAGGTAAAAAAGTTGCTTGTATTGTCTTGAATAACATTTGGGAGCAAAAAATTCAGTTCTGAAATTTCAGCTTGAGGGATACATATAAAGCAGACACATGTTACGAACAATCAGATGTAGATTTTATGAGTTAATATGATCTATGCATTTATGCCCTAACTGGTACCATTTTTTCCCCATCTGACCTGATTTTCAGAGCAGTAGCATTTCTCTTTGAGCTGAGGCTGTGTCTCTGTGCCTTGACTGCAGTGTCCCAGAAAAGCACAGAAGGGCCCCTGCATAGCTGGAGCATCTCTCTGAGAGAGAAGCACGATGAGCTCGTTATAAAATACCCACGGCTTTTCACAAGATGGGAGGCATCTGGAGCTCTGGTTCCACTCTGTGTATTGCTCGTAGCCAGTGGATATTTTTCACAGAATGTTGGCAGAGTTCCAAAGGTGCAGTACAGGAGAGAATTATTGCTGTGTCTTGCTTTATCTTGATGCTTTCAAGGATAAAAAATGTCTCTTCTCTACCCTTTTCTTTCAGGTTTTTTGCTTTCTAGCATTAAAGGGACCACAATATCTTTATTTTCAAGGGATGTCTATACTACTTGCTTGCTTGAATCATGCCTTGAGGCTCCAGTAGCCCTTGCCTAGACCTCAGCTCTTTCAGCCCCTAAGAACTCCTGAGGTCCAGGCACTGAGATCCAGCCAGACTGCACTTCTGCATGGCCAGCAATTTCCCCCCAGTCTCAGGGCAAGCTAGAGAGACATGTCATGTTAAAAATAAAATGCAAATGCCTGAGTTATTTGAATATAATCACTTTATTAATTTAGCTGTCTAACAGATACTGATGACAGTCTAATAATAAGGTCCAAAATGTTCTTTCTCATTAACGGAGTTAATGAACTCACACATCTTAAGAATTTCATTTTAATTATTAGCAATAATTTATATGAGAGAGAGAAGTGCCAAAAAAATATTCCTATTGAGGAGTGGAAAATTGGTAAAACTCTTGATGAGAGAGGTTCAGTGCCACAACTGAAAATTGTAAAAAGATTCCTTCAGTTCTGGTTCTTGTCTATAAAGTTGCTGTGTCGCTGGAAATTTTCCAAACCTCAGCACCTTCAATGTTTCCACTCCAGTGCCACTGTCGGTGTCTTTGGCAGGCACAAGAAATATTTGTTTCAGGACAAAAAAAAATCGGTGCCAAAGTATGGGTTGAGTATTACAAAATGGATTTATTTAATAATAATCTATATTTTTAATTTCTCTTTCATTAAAAAAAATAAAAAATTGAATGCAAATATTCACCTTGAATTGAAAAGTGTGATTCCTCTTTTAAACTCTAGCTGCTTCAAAAATTGAATTTCAAAAGTTGCAGTTCAGAGGAAGAACTCATTTTCTATCTAGTCATAGTCTCCATTTCTGTAAAACAAAGATGCTTTTTGCTATTTTGTTATGTTGGGTTTTTTATATCTCAGGACAAAGGAAGTAGTAAGCTTGGGGCTCTAAGGAAGTAATTTTGGTTCTGAAAGTTTTCTGATACTTTACACCTGTAATAGACATTCATGACTGACTTAAAATGAATAAATGATATCATTTTGTCCTATGCTTCACTGGCTTAATTTCCTTTGGCTTTCATGCTGAGATTTGAGTGTGTATTGATTTCAGAACCTTGTTGATGTCAAAAATAACTAACTTGAAAGTGCTGAAACCATGATCAATATGCATAAAAGATAAGCCATAAACCTGCAGGATATGCTGAAGAGGAGAGTTAGGAGTGAGTGGGGCAGCAGATATTTTCCAGCATTAGAATCAGTATGCAAAGTTGATTTAGGCACATTACCATGGTTAGGCAGGTACCTAAGGAGTCTTTACTGTTATTACAATGTTTTTCACATTGCATCCTGTAGGTACACTTGAGGAAATGGAGATTTGGATAGCTGGGAGAGAGAGAAAGGACCAGTGGCTTTCCTAAGATGAACCAGTGGCTTGACAAGGCAGGGGAGCAGCATTTGTTCCTTTGCTTTGCACTCCTGCACTCTGGTGGATGCACCACGCAACTTTCAGACCTGCTTCATTTTGAGCAAGAGATACGCTCAAAACCATCAGGTATGCAAATTTCCCTGAAATTCAGACTGCAATCTTCAGATTTTATCAATGTTCTATCAAACTTCTTTCATTACCTCAATGGAGCATATGGGGTTTTTTTTTAATGAGTATTTGATCTGAAGAGAATATAACTGTGCTATAAAATTACATTGTAGTATTGTTTGTAGTGTGATATTTGCACTTGGAAACACAGATCAAATCTCCTCTCTGATGCACTGAGTTGCCCTCTGGACTTTGACGGTAGAGGAAGACCCAAATGACTGCTTTAATTTCTCACAGGGGTGGAAGGGATCCAACCAGAATGTGGGATATTTGAATTTGTGTACTCACACTACTAATACACTAGGCTGCATTGAATTTTCAAACTTTCCATTTCAAACAGTGGAAGAAGTACCTCACGTACCAAATACAGAGGAAACAGTTGCTGAGCCCTGTGTGTAATTGTTGGGTGATAACATTCATGTGATAATGTAATAGGACTGGCAAAATGACAAATTTTCAAATCCAAAGGAAGCAGGACAAACCTGAAGTGCTGATAAAAGACTGTCAATGTGTTTGTTTCACCAGCAACAGAGGAGTATCTCTGTCATCTCAGCAGTGGTTAAGGATTAGCAGCCCCTCTTATATTAATGGGTGTCAGCTCTCCAGCAGTGCAGCTGGAGTTCTCTGGGTATTTCTTTTCCCCCTTTTTACCTTTCCCCTTTTCCAATTAGTGGGAACTTTACCAGACTGCTATGACTTCTCATATGGCTTGATTTACTGAAATTCATTTTTTGTTCTTGTGACCTTTATAATTCACTTTTCACCCCATTTGCATTCATCAGAGTTCTCTAGTCAAAGTGAAAACTGCAGCACTAATCAAAAGTGATCAGATAAAATAGATGAGTATTAGATGAGTGAATAGACCAAGTGAAAGACTCCTTCATCCTGCCTCGAGTGCCAGAGCCCTGCACACTCCCAGAGTCATCCTCCTTCCTTCTGCAGTCAGCCCACGATGTGCTCACAGCACATAGCTCCAAGTCTTCAATAAATGACGAATTATGGACCATCATCCCTTCAAAAATCAACTTGACTTCTTTTCATCTTGCAGCTGGTTTATATTTGTGAGGATTCTGATGTTACCTGAAGAGTTGTATCTACTTTATATTACAAAATTCTACCTGAATAGCTGTATTAATACATGGGCTGAATTGATGAAATCATTGTATGTCTGAGAGCTGAGCAAGTGTAATGTGTGTCACTGGAAGTAGTTCGGCAAATTCAGGGCTTTGTTTATACCATTTGTGCCTCCAGGCTTTGCTGACAAATAGTTACAAGTACAGTCCTTAAGTGAATATATAGTATACAATATATAATAATAATACGATTTTTTTCCAGTGGAATCAAGAATTCCAGAGTATAAAATCATGGACAGCCTCAATAAACCACTTGAGCTGATCTTGAACTCTGAACTCCAACTTCAGGGCACATTTTGTAACAGATAAATGCTAATGTGAGTGGACACGTTATATTTTATGGTTCCAACATCTTTTTTACTCTCTGCTACACTAGTGCTTAACTCTGAGCCCCTGTGTTTGTATTTAATATGGATTAAATCTGTTCCTTAGGAAATACTTGGAGCATGAAAGCTGCTGTATTAAATTAGTTCATTACAGCTTTACATGCATAACTGCATAAACATTCATTTGCTTCCTACTTTGATCACCTCTGATCTTGGCTGTTAATGCTACTGACTTCTACAAGCCTTTTTTCCCCTTGACTGTTTTTTAATTCTGACTTGAAGTTGTCAAGAGCAGATTCTGTTTATTTCCCATAGTAATGGCTTGCCTTTATTTCAAATGGGTTTTACTTAGGTCAGTTCTGTTGGGGCATTTTTGCATCTGTGTTGAAAAAGCCTTGATGTTCCAGCACTGTTTTGCTTCTGCTGTGTTTCACCTGAGCAAACACCTTGGTCTGTCACCGAAGGGCACTGCCTAAATGCAATGTGTATTATTTATTTATTATCACAACACCGCCCTGACAAGCGGCCTCCCAAATGCATCAGAGAGCACATTTGTCATTCCAATTTTCGTTGTACTCTTGCTGTGTATTTTCTTCACTTATGGCTTCTTGGAACATTTCTGTGGTCTTTTTCTGTGATTAGACACTAGGAGTTTATACCAAATTTATATGTTTCAGCCCTCTGCACCAGTCATCTATTAATTATTTCTTTCCAGTGCTCAGTGTACTGGGCTAACCACGGTGGGCACTCAGGCACCACAGAGCTGCTCCCTCACTTCGACCCTTACCCTGCCTGTGGTTCAGGAGAGGAAAATGAGAAGCAAGGAATGTTGGGGGTGAAAAAACACTAAAAAACTGTTTAATAAGTGACTGATAAGTGGAAAAAGAGGTAAGAAGGCAACAAAAAAAGATTAAAAGGCAATAATTCCCCCCTCCCATGGGTAACCCAGCCACTTCCTGAGGAAAAGACAGGCCAACCCCTATAAAATTCCTTGCTTTCCATTCTGTTGCTGAACACCATGGACGTTCCATGCTATGGAATACTTTTTTGGTTAATTTGGGTTAATTTGGTTAATTTGGATTGGTCTGGTTGTGTCCCTCCCAGGTTATTCTGCCTCTCAGCCTGTTTGGTGGGGGCAGAATGAGAAGCAGAGGAGCCCTTCTTGCTGAGCAAGCCCTTTTCAGCAAAAGCTGAACATTAGGGTGTTACCAGCACTGCTTTGCTATTGCAATAAGCTCAAACTTTTCAAAATGGCACAAATTTTAAAAGAGGTATCTTGTTTTATGTTATGTTTTCCTGTTAAGTGATGGAGGATGTTGCCATTGCAATGCATGGCTGAGTTAATGCACTGTGTTACTGCTTTACAAAACATCTCATGCAGGATAATGTGATGTGTAGTTTTAGAGTTTACATCAGCCTTTTGTAACTGCTGTGCCATGGTGCCCAAAGTTTGGGTACAAATTCCCCTTCGATGTCATTTGGCAAAGCTGAGACTACTGAGTGGGAAAGGAAACCCTGAATAGTCAGGAAACAAGCTAATGAGATGAATGGCTTTAATACTTCTGTCAACCACTCTAAATCTACTCATTCTGGAAATGCATGCAGTTATCCTTAAAATAAATTGCCTTTATCTCATAATTGTCTCTGCTAATTACCTTTTTAACAAATTAAAAGGTGAGAGGGCTGAATGCTTACATCTATGATTTTCACTAGTGCATGCTTATGTTGTGCCTTTGTTTACATTGATACACATCCCTAGTGTAAAAATGTCACATTTCCACTTTACCCTAGGACCCCTGGAGCAAAGCCTGCCTGTGCAATCCGTGCTGCCTGGGAACAGGAATGCTCTATAATTGATGAGATCCACGGGTCTGTTCCTTACTGCAGTTCTTTTTCCAAATGGGAGAAAATGTTCCAAAGAAGAACTGCCTGCAATTAAAATTGTAGCACACCATCGCGGTGGTGGAATGTGTCCTTGTAATGTCCTGGGGCTAGTTTTCTTGTTTTCTACCACAGCTGAGGACTGAAAGGATCAAAAAAGCAAATGCATATTCTAGAACTAGAAAGAAACAGAGAAAGCTGAGTTTATCACTGAATGAAGCATATGAAAATGGCTGGAGAATTAAGTTGGTCCTCCTGGTTTGATTGTTAAATCTTTCATGGTCCAGAATTTTCCCAAGTTCTGATCTATGAAGAGGGAGAAATTTAACAGCGTGAGATCTGATCTGCTGAGAGTAATTTCATCTTGTTTGCTTAAGAGTTATCATAATGGCATCCCAGCTGTAAGGCAGGACCATTACAGTGCTTCGACTATTCTTCTTGTTTTCTGCTTCTCCCCTGCACAGGGGAGAAAAAGGAGCTAGAAAATAACATGAATTTAGAAATCTGGTTCTGCTTTCTGCCTATGACATGATACAATATGCAAGTGATATTCTAAAATATATAAAATATAGTTTGATATGTCTATATTTTAACAATTCAATTGAGCTACACCAGGGAATCTGAGTGTCATCAACTGTTCTGCCATTATCTTGGAGGCAAAAAATGTATATTGGCAGAGCTTACACGAGTCTTGCTCCACCTCATTTGAGGTAGCAATACCTCAAAATTTAATTTTATCAAAATCCCCCAAATTTTCACCACACAAAGGTGAATTAGGGAACTTTTCTTAAAAAGCCTGCACAGTTTAAAACTTGACCAGCAGAACTATGAATGTAGAAGAGTTTTCAGCACTTCCCCAGAGCATTGTCCTGCTGCTCTGATGGTCCATATAGGAAACAGAGCTTCCTACTCCTCACTGTTCAAAAAAATCTTCCTTGGAAAAGAAATCAGCATCCAGGGTAACTCAGCTCTGCTGTGATTGTCCCCGCTCAAAGCTGCATGGAGTCGCTGCGTGATCATTTGCTCTGAGCTCTTATCACAGATATATCCTCCCTGACTTCTGCAAGCAAGTGCAGAAAGGCAGAAAGTATCAGCTTTGATCATTTCCCACTGGATTACAGGATAATTTGTTTGGCCTCTGAACATGTGGCGAATTATAGAGAAGGCACATGATAAGGACTTGCACTGAGAAAACCTCTCTAAACTATGCCCTGGAATGAAAGCAGCACTCAGATTTTCATTTCTATCCCCAGATTAGACCCTTGTGCTCAGTTCAGAGGGGCAGACGAGTCAGAGGTTACCTGAGTGAGAGCCTAGGTCAGAGCTGAAATGAGGACTATTGAGGGAGAAGGGATGGTGTAAGATGCCATGAAGAATGAGCACCCTCTTCTGCAGAGGATAGTTAAACAGTCCTTTCTTTTTTATGGGATTTCAGACAGATTTCTGCACAGTTTCTATCAGAGTAGCACTTATGCTTTGAGGTTTTTTTCCCTTACCATGTTTGCTGAGAAAAAACAAAATTTGGTTAATTCAAAGCTCGAGATAAGGAATCAGGGTACCCATATAAAACCTAATCCACTATAGAATCCAGATAATAAACCCAAACACACCATATTGAGAATATCCAGTGCCATGAAAGACTCCTTTAGCTAAAATTGTTAAAGCTGGCTGAGTTTGGAGAAGAAAGTCTGCTTCCTCCTTGTTTTCCTATTCCCATTCTTTAGTCACAGAACTTTGAGCCAGTGAGCCTAGAGGAGACAAATTACTTAAAAGTGCTAGAGGATTGAAAACATAAAGGTGATGGAAACAATAAAATTAGAGACATTCTCAGATGGTCTGAATTGATGTATGTCAGTGGCTTCCATTAAGCAATGCTAGTTTCCTTAACAGTAAAGGAAATGTTTTGCTCTAGATTTAAAAAAAATTTTCCAGCATATATTGTATCTAGTATTGTGATAGGCCAGATAGACTGTTCAGTGCCTTTCTTATGTCATTAAGGCATTTGGCTTACCTTGAAACCATTTCTATAAAGCTAGCTAAAACAAAACTTGGAAATCCTAATTTTGTGTGTTTATGTATATGTGAAGGGTTTTAATGCAGATTTGGAATGATTTACTAGCCATATCTGGATTTTGAGTTCTCTTTTCAGCTATTCTATCTTGTTAATTGCTGCTTGGGGCTGTGGAAAGGCTGCTTTGGGGATATCTCTCCTGTGCTGGAGTTCCCTGCTCTGACCCAGCTTTGACTGCTGTTTATCCCTTCTGTCAAAGCCCATCAGCAGCTGCTGGCTGAGGAAATGTCCTTTTCCACCTCGGAATGTTCATTTTAATGGTGCTTGAGAGGTTCCAGCTGCACTTCTGTGGGGAGGGCAGAGCTGCCGTGTCTGGGCAGCAGCTGTGGCACGAGTGCTCTGTTAAAGATTGGTACTTGCAAGATTGGAATATACAGTGTCTTCTTTTGAGGCTTCAGGTGTGTGATTCTGTTTCTGATGAATTCATTTCTTTGGTTTTTTTCTCTACAGTACATGTCAGAAGACAGAGGAACTGCTAGGTGTAGGGGACAGCCAAGGAAACTTTTATTGATCTGTTAGACTTCTACTTTTCTTTCATTTGTTGTCATCCTTCTTACCATAGTGCTGTGAGAAAGCAATGATAAATTATAATTGTGGAGGAAAGTGGTCTAGGTAACAATTTCAGTCTGTAAAAACATGTACTTGTCCCATCTCAGTGTCGTTTTTGTGAGAATATCTACAGCCAGGAAATAGCACATCTCTACTGTCAGTTAGCTATCTGCTGCAAGATGCAATTCCAGATGTGTATCAGAAAACAGATGTACAAGCTACAGAAAGCCAGATAAGACAGCAACAATATTCAATGTATAAAGAAATCCTACTGCATACCATCCTCTCCATGCATAAAAAAATCGCTGCTTCTTTTCACTCCAGGAAACTCTTCAGAACAATGACATGCCATTTTCTGTTGTTGCATGAAATCTCCTTAATTTATTTGCCTAATAAATTCCCAGTACTTACTTGAGGACCATCAAGATATACTCCTGTACAGAAGCCAGCTGTTTGTTTAGACACAGAAATATCTTACATTGTCACTTCTTGTTAGCTCTATTTACTATTTCAGTTTCTTCTATTTACAGCAGTGAAATGCATATCACTTTTAACATGCAATTCCTCATTTCTTGCTGATCTAAGATCAGGTCAATCTAAGATTTTCAGCCTTTAGGCATGACAAACAGGAGGTACCATGTATTTTAAATGTTCAAAGAAAGAAATCATTCCAGAAGGTGACATAAAGGGAGTGACAAACACTGCCTGACCCAAATGCCAACAATAAGGAATAGTCCTGTCAAGGCTAATGAGAATTCAATCAGAACATCAAATTAATTTACAGGGTACAGATGAGGAGAAGAGCCAGCAAGAGAAATCTCAAACAGCAAAGGGTCAAGTGAAACAGAAGCTGGTGGTCTAATCCTCAGCTTCATTTTAGTGATCCTTGGATGTCCAAGAGGTCTTGGTATTAAAAAGGGCTGATCTCAAGTGGGTTTTTTATTTGCTTGTTTGTTTTGTTTGTTTGGGTTTTGCTTGTTTTGTTTGGGTTTTTTATTGGTTTTTGTTTTGTTTGGCTTTTTTTGTTGTTTTGTGGAGGTTTTTGTTTGTTTGGGTTTCTTTTGGTTTGGTGTTTTTGGAGTTGGTTTTTGTTGGTTTGTTCTATTGCTAGTTTGGGTCTGATTGTGGGTTATTTGGGGCTTTGGGTTATTTGGGGGGTTTTTGAGAATAACTCTTTATAAAAAGGTTGTAACTGAGGCTAGTGATCAAGTTTGGGATAGGCAGTGCTGGAAGTCAAATTAGGGTAAGGTGATATTAGTGTATCTGTCCCTGTCACACCTGCAAATATGAGTTAGATGTGTTTTATTGAGACTGAGTCAAAAAGT